TTAACATGAATGACAGACAGCAGGAATAGTAGACTGCTGTCACTTTAAGAGCTGCCCGGGTTTCCAAAATACTGTTTCACGTGTGTTTTCTTTCTCAGCTGTTTGCTTTCACTTAAGACCTAAATTATGGTGTTTACAAGGATACTTGCAAAGACAGGCATTTGACACATGGGTCAAAGACGTTAAGATGTCCGCATCAAAATGAATTTACAAAAGTGATTATATGTCCATAGAAAGCACATTAAATGTAAGTAAAGTATCTACTTTTAAGGTTTCAATTAAGTTTTTGGAGAATACAATCTTAAAATTTGGTTGAAATAATGTTACATTGTCATTCAGTGTAACGCAATATTTATGTAAAAATTCAAACAACATGCTTATTCTGACTTGTACATATTAATTTTATATTATTATTTACATATTAATTGTGCATTTTAAATTGTATTGTGTTTTAAATGAGTAAAAATCCTTACTGAAAAATGGGCAATTTTAGAAAATTTTTAGAAAATTACAACTAAGTAGTATTTGGGATGAAAGTAATTAGTCTTTTAATATGTCATAAATACATTTTTGTTGTAAATATGCCTGACAAGATTGGTACACTGAATGACATTTTAGTGGGTCTCTTGCAATTGCAATTAAATTAAACAGAAAACTTTTTATTTTGGGGGGGGAAAAACAACAACAATTTAAAGCAGTATTACACTTATTGTTTTTATGCTTAAACACTTTTTCGTCTTGGACCCACATACAAGTGTGTGTATTTAACCGTTCAAAACCTATAAAGCGGCAAAAATACCTATTCAATATTCCCGCGCTCTATGAGCACCATCATGGGCTGATTGAAATTGCAAATTCATTCTCTGCCAGCAGGAGGCGCTTTAAGAGTGGCAGAAACAGTGGTTTCCCAACTGCTGTAATCAAAGCCGAGCTGTGCTCATGAACGCTACTTTATCAGGCATTATAGGAAAGATTAAATGAAAATTACATCAACACTTTTCTGAAGACAATCGGTTCCCTTCAAAAAAAAGATACATTTATATATAAAAACACTCGTGGCGTGTTTTGACTTTTAAAATGTGCAGTGCTCATGTTTATTCAACGAAGTCAAAGCCTTTTGGAAAATGTATTTGTGGCGGTCAGTGTTGATATTGTGGCGGGCCGCCACAAATAAACCAATGTATGGGAAACCCTGCGATATATATCAAATATATTTTTTGTAAATAAGGTCGTTATGACACTACATTTTAGATACCAGCAAAATTCTCAATACCACAGCAGAATACTAGGGTAACTCATATAAGTAATAAAAAATTGGAAATAGAAAAAAGATACAAATGAAACAAACAGTTCTTTAAGTTTTTTTTATGCAAGTCTAAAGTATTCAGCTCACAGCCTACTACAGAAATTGAATAAGCAAATGTAAAATAAAACCGCATAGTCTTCACTGTAAGAATTAAACTTGATTTGTTTCTTATTAAAGCTACAAAAGTCCTTCAGTCAAGAGCAGTAAGTGATTTTTCTCTTTGTCTTTTGTTGATTTAATATTAAGCACACAGTCAGCAGCAGGAATATTAGCCTGCTGTCACTTTAAGAGCTGCACGTATCCAATTTACTGTTACACACATATTCATTCTCAACTGTTTACGTTCAAGAGTTTATGTGAATAATCACCAAGCGCCACATTTTGACACATTTTTATGTATCTGACCATTTAGGCGCACATCTTAAGCTAAAAGTTGACTTTACGTGTCCGTGTTCTGTTCCATCTCTGAGCACATGCACAGAAACCTCCTGAGGAACAGCGCAAGTTCTCTTTCGCACTTTGAAAAACACAAATAAACTTAAATCATGCACGTCCCATTTTTGAGAAAGTCAGGTTACATGATTTGACTGATCTGCACATGAAGTTTGGACTTTTATGGAGGAGCAAAAGGGGCGGAATGGCGCACGATATCTCGATTATTGTATTTACATAATCGTTGGAGGCCGAAAGTGAAATCTAAAATGTATTTCGATTAATTCCACAGCTCCAGTTGACACCATTGTCAAAACTATCCCCGTTCACACGGATCCACGAAAACGACTAAAGACGCTGTATTATTCATGCCAGGCCAGCAGTTGGCGATCCCACTTTGTAAAGAAACTCTGCATGACCAAACGGATTCCTATAGACTGAACATGTAATACTCACAAGCATGATGATGTAACCGTTTTCACAAATTCGCGTTTTTATAGTTTACATGGAGACTAAATCGGTATAATTTTCAAAAACTTGCACTTTGAAACTCGTTTTCAAAAGTTTGCATTTTCAGGCCCCCAAAACGCCGTTTTTGTGTAAATGAACGGCCATTTTTAGTTGAAAACTGTCGTGCAAATGCCTCCTAAATTAGCTGATCCATGTGGTAAATTAGTTTGTGCCATACAGCCAATTAAATATATGTATGTATGTCTGTGTTTTTAACATTTTCTGTAAGAATGCTTTTAACGCGACAGTTTCTGCTAGTAAATTTTTGATGTGATATTTCCCTGGAACTGCAGGCACACGTCTGGAGACGCATGTTTGCTCTTTAATCTAATCTTCACATCGGTGTACTCTTAAAGCGTTTCTGTGGTGGTTAGCTGGAGGGGTGGGGTCTGTGCTATTGGTACACAGGAACGGGTTCTTGTGTTTAGCCTGGAGCTGTACAATGAGAGTTGTGTGCACGCTGATGGCTATCTCTCTATCGCTGTCTTTGCGGCTGTTTTGAAAATGGCTTGTTCAACTTCACAGCCTCTGTTGTTGTGTTTTATGTTTGTGCGCTTGTCTTTGCATATGTCATCACCTTTAGGTGCCCTTCATGCCCTGCCGAGTGCAGTACACAGATCTTCTGTCATATCGCACCTCCTCGGACCCCATGAAGGACTCCTGGAATAGCTTGTTTTGAGTGATCCATTCAGTGCCGAATTACTGTAGAAATCCTAAAATATAGCTAACCAGTAAAATGTTGTTTGAGTTTCTGAGCCGTGAGCAACTCTAAACGAAATTGAAAAATTAAGGACTTTTTGAACCAGTTTTTTCCAAACACACAGTCTTGCCTGAAATTAACACCATGGGTTTAGTCTGAAGTTGCTGGGTTGGACTACCCAAGCATACAGAGCAAATAACTACACTAGCTTCAGTAAATGTATATAATATACGTCACCCATCTCCATCACCTGCTTTCAGATGGAGCGGCATTTACTACACAGAGCCGTAGTTCACTGACAATTGGGCAATGTCGCGTTCATAATCGCAGATGAATCGCATTCGATTATGAACGTGATATTGCCTAGCTTGTCAGTGAACTACGGCTCTGTGTAGTAAATGTCGCTCCATCTGAAAGCAGGTGATGGAGATTTACTACTAATCACGGAACCGGCTTTACTGACGAGATTCGCATGACAATCGCATGCGATTAATTGCACAGCCCTAATTTAATTGTTGAATTTTAAAATTAAATATTTATTGTTGTTGTTGTAAATGTAACATTCCTTAAAGGGATAGTTCACCCCAAACCAGTTACTCATCCTCATGTTGTTCCAAACCTGTATGACTGTTGAACACGAAAGAAGATATTTTGAGAAATGTACAGTCACATTTACCATTGCTCAGTAACTTTTGTTAGACAAAATCCATTTAAATGATTCCCATTTAAAATCCAGTTATTTAAATGGGAATCACGCAGATTCGCAACGGTTTCAAGTTGGACACGTTTCATATTTTGTAGTGCCCAAGTAGTAACATCATCTGGACTCTATATAAGATAGCGAAATGACAAATAATCTTAATCATATTAGTGGTGTTGACTGCATTCATCACGCAGAACCTTCAGACTTTATTGTATTTTTATTTATTCTTTTGGAAGAAAATATGATCAAACAAAATAAGTTTATCAGTAACTATAACATTTTACACACTAGCTAGTCCCTATGGGGTGACCGTTTAATTTAGGCTAAATTTGCAACCCCTTTTTCCTTTTTAGTGTTTTTTTTAAACATCTATTTAATGTAACATTGCAACACAATTTAACTTTGTTTTTTTTCCATATTAAAAGCTGATATCAGATTGCAATATAATGTTAATACACTGTTGTATTTTTTACATGAATATGGTAATCATCATGGTATTTTCATGGTACTTTAAAGAATACCACACTGATATCATGTCCGAACATATTACATGTTCATGTTTTAGTATGAACAGACTGGGTGTTCATAGCTCATTCTGTGTAAACTTCCTGCTGTCAATGAATATCAATCATTTGATGCAGTCAGGTTTGCCTGCTAGTCGCCATGAGTTCCCAATGTGTGTATGGGGTACAGACTGCTCCAGCTGAAGGAGGGAGTGATTGCGATTGGTTCACACTGGTCACATGGTCAGGCAGCCCGATTTTCTGCAGGCAGTGAGCGGTTGACTCACGGGAGGGTGTTTCACATGGAATAGTTGCACAGCTGCAGAGGGAAGTGCGGAGTCGCTGGGATAGCCCAAAATGGATATGGCTAACCTCTTCAAACACTTCTTCCGTGAGTTTTGCAGCTTTCGTCTCCTCCTTATTATACCGCCAGTCTAGAAAGCTGACAATGCTGAAAGTTTTAGCTTAGATTGAGTTTTGCTTCGAGACATTATTGGTTTTAGGATAAGGGAAGTTTGAAAGGCTTTTCCTTTCCTTTCTGAGCTGAGTGGGAGTTTGTCAGTAACCCCCACCACACACACACACAGTTTTTACTCCTTTTTACTATTAATCTGTCATTTGGACACACTTTACTTTTGCTTAATTTGTTTGGAAACCAAATTTGAGCGAACAGACAAGTTGGCTTGGGAAGCCTCCTTTTTTTCCTCTCGGTCTCGGTGTTAGTCGAGCAGCTGGGCGGGCAGTGCTCTGAAAAGCCTGTAATTGCACTTTACACGCACGCACACACACACTGCAATCAGCACAGTGTAAAGAACTTCCCTTCTTCTTTGTGCACTTAAACTCTCCTGTTACACTCAACCGGAATTCTTTCCCAGCACAAGCCTCCTTTAATCAAGTTTGGTTTGAAGCCTACCGGTCCTTCTCGATCCGACGCACTGAGGTTTTTTCTGTAGTTTGGGTGTTGAGGGTCTGCTGTCGTGGGGGTTTCCTCGTGTCGGTGGGCCGATGTCGGCTCTCGGTGAAACACTGAAAGCATTGTGTCATCTGTACTGCTGAAGCTGTTTGATGAAGCCCGTATCTCTTCTGGGAGAGCCGCTGGTGGAATATATTATTGGTTTCTGCAGCCGCTGGACAGCCGCTGGCCTCTTTCTGTAGCTGTGCAGTAAATGACCGTTTAGTGTCTTGCCGAGGTGCTGAAGGACCGTAGGACGTGATGTGGTCGTGTCTGAAGTGTGTGGGTATGTAACTCTGCTTAAGAAATAAGGACTGTGCACCCAGAAATGTATCTGTACTTCAAAACCCATATGGCCCATGCCATATTATCACAAAAAATATATATCACTAAAAAGTTTGGGGTTGTACTTTTTTTATTTATGTTTTAGAAAATTCATAGGCTGCATTTATTTGATAAATACAGTAATATTGTGAAATAGCTGTTTTATATTATTATTATTTATAATATTTTTATTTATTAATGCCACATTTTTAGCTTCATTTCTCCAGTCTTCACTGTCACAAGATCTTTCAGAAATCATTCTAATATATTAATATAGTAAGAAACATTTCTTACTCTCAGTGTTGAAAACAGTTGTGCTGTTTCATATTTTTGTGTGAACCATAATTTTTTTTCTTTTTTACAGGATTCTTTGAATTAGAACTTACATTATAAATGTCTTTACTGTCATTTTTGATCAATTAAAAAAAAAATCATTCTGTACATTGTGATACCTAAATCAATTTATAGCATTTTAAATGATTGATTTCAATTCAGTATTTAATTTCTAATTCATTCAGATGAATTAATATCGAAATTTATAATCAAGCATTTATCATTTATCAGCCATAACATAATAATGACTGGTTTAGCAGTTTCAGCCAGATTAACATTGGTGCCTAGTTCAAACGCTAATAGTCTTCTCCTCTGTTGTGGCTCTTAATTCTCATTCGTCCATGCGCTTAGTCCCATGACATGTGACCATCAACAATGTTTGGCATTGATGACATTAAACCTGATGTAAACCTAAATGTGCCATGTTTAAATATGTCAACCAAATGTTTCTTTAAGGGAATATCTCCTTTTGTGTTCTACAGAAGAAAGTGATACGAGTTTGAACGACAAAATGAGAATTTAAATTTTTGCTTAAACTGTCCCTTGATTCCATTACGTTAAACTCATCATTGAAACACATCCCTCTTTCTCCCAGTTTATCCACTCCATCTCACCCTTTCTCTCTTTTCCTGTCGCTCAGCCTCCGTTCGTAGCGGAAGTACCCTAATTTGAGACAGATTTCTCCTCAGATCTTTGGAGCCTGAGGGAGGAAGTGAGGAAACCAGATTGATGATTCACTGCAGCGTCAGCTCATCCGTCTGTTTTTCTCCACTTCCCACTTCGCCACTTGTAAAGCTGATGGAAAACACCACAAGATAATGTGGCTTTGTGAGAGGACAAACGCACAAGCTTGAATTCAAATGCTAGCGTCCTCTCACACAAGATGAGTACAGGAAGTGCTGATGGCTTTCTGGAGTGTTCCCGAGTTAAACACACAGCAGGCTGATGGTGCTGCATACGTGGATGGGCTGTGACCCCCGTTTGACTCTCAACCATAGACTGTATAAAAACATGGACGTAGTGTCCGTGACGTCACCCGTAGGTTTCCGAAGTGCGTTTTTGAAGCCTAAAGTAGTTCTGGGCGGTATGACCAAAAATTTATATCACGGTATTTTTCAAAATTATACCGGTTTCACGGTACATGACGGTATAAAATTTTTTTCATGCATGACCGGGTGTTAAAGGGGTCATATGATGCTGCTAAAAATAATATTATTTTGTGTATTTGGTGTAATGAAATGTGTTTATGCAGTTTAAAGTAAAAAACACATTATTTTCCACATACTGTACATTATTGTTTCTCCTCTATGCCCCGCCTTTCTGAAACGCGTCGATTTTTACAAAGCTCATCGGTCTGAAAAGCGAGGTGTGCTGTGATTGGCCAGCTATCCAGTGCGTTGTGATTGGCCGAATACCTCAAGCGTGTGACGGAAATGTTACGCCCCTCACCATACTGTGATGGCGTGTCCCGGCCGGAGCGACGACACAAAAACATTAAAACCCATTACAAACGAGGCATTTGTTGCATCCAGTGGGGACATAATTATGGATTATAATGTCTTATACTGTCTTTTTACGCGTTGCGTTGCATTGGATCGTGCCGCGTAAACATAAAACCACGTCTGCATTTGTGATCGGAGAAATGACAAACAACAAGTGCTACTCCACACTGCCCAAAACTCGCGTTTGACTCATCAGTGGCAAATGATAAAAAAAAAACGTACTTACGTGAGTCAGAACTGCCGGCATTTTAGTCTAA